GCCTGCCACGGTTGAAGTCCAGAAACCACACAAACACGGTGGTTCTTGAAGGCGCATCATCACTAAATGCAGCACACAATCATACCACGCTCTGGTGCTGCTTTAAACCACATCTGTAGTCATCGGAAATCATCGCCCTCCAGTGACCTCGACTGTGTTTCAGACTGAGAGTCAGAGTGTAATGACCATTATGACTTGTGAGCTGGGTTGGGCTTCTGAGATAGGGTTCTATGAGTTGGCACAATTTCGATTTATAGACAACTACTTTATATATATATATATATATATATATATATATATATATATATATATATATATATATATATATATATATATATTTGCAAAAGTCTGTTAACAGACATAATGCCATCAGAAACCATGGGATTCAAACGAAGGTACAGAAACAGTAAAATAAAACACAACACAACAATGTCCATGGATCCCTCAGAGGGCGAGATACTACCCGGTTGCCCAAGCCGAAGTAGGGTGTTGACTTAGGGGACACCACCCCGAGCCTTTCGGAATCAGAGTTGCTCACAAGCCGACAGAAACTATCCGAGACAACCTCTTCAATGGTAAGGAGCGGCTTGGCAAAGAAGAAACAAGTGGTGTGATTTACAAAATCCACTGCAAAATTTGTAACAAATACTATGTGGGCCAGACAGGAAGTGAGCTCGTCACTAAGCTACATGAGCATAGCCTAGCCATCCGGCGACATGACCAGAACTCCCTGATGTCGGTACATATGGACGCCGAGAATCATCAATGTGATTTGGAGAATGTCAGGATCGTAGGCAGGACAAAAAGTCGAAAAGCACGCGAGTTCATCGAGGGTTGGTACTCAGGGAAGAACTCAATCAACAGACACTTAGATCTAGATACTGCCTATGAAGCACTGAGGGTCAAAACAATACTCCGCCCCAGATCAACAATATATATATATATATATATATATATATATATATATATATATATATATAGCTGTAAGGAGGCTAGCGGAATCAAGAGTGGAGTGCTCAGCCCAGTGGTAACACGCCTCTAGGCAAATTAGACACTGGTGACATGTATATATAAATTGGGATTAGCATACGGATAAAGAAATGGAACATTTCTGTTAACGAGACGACCAAAGAAAGAGGTGGTCTGGCTATGTTAATTGGATGACCAGGTCACCAGCTATGAAATTCATGGCGAACTGAAGCAGAAACGTGGGTCACCGATGCACCAGACCCCTGGCGGTTCTAGAGGTAACAGTGGTTGCAGCGCACGGGATAGCGTAGAAAAAGGTAACTGTATATTCGTTCACTACCGATAAGGACAGTGCGCTCCATAGTTGAACCGGAAGCAAAAGCAGTATTTAACATTCTATACGGTAGATAAGGGTGAGTTTAGTTCAGTTGATCAACTATGATCGGAGCGCCGAAGTTCGGTGGATCCAGTTGACACGACTCACACCGTAAGAATAACAATATAAAACAACGGCAAGATAGGGGGGTTGGGTGCACATAGTGAAGAGAAAATGCATTAGACTAATCAGAATGGAAAGATAAGTAACAACCAGATGCAAGAAAGCGAATGCAGGAACGCCACTGATTTCGTGACTACGCCATGTCTGAGACAGTCTCCAACCACTGGTGGGAACTGTGACGAGGACCCCACCAGCCTGATCAAGCCTCTCAGTCAATTTCTGCTAGCTTCTATGTCATATCATGGACTGGCCACCTCGCGGTTTCGCCCAACTTGGTGTGGCCACGGCGTATAATGCACGCCGAGGAAACCGATTTACGGGCATACGGAGGACATGGCATAGCCAACGCAAAGATTTAGCAAACACGTGAGAGGCACCGGAAGCATTTTGCCAAAAATCGACTGGGAGACCTCTACATTGCTCACTCGGTGTTCCTACCAAACGTGAGCAATAGTCCGGTAACACCGGTAGTTAAACATGACCGAACATTTAATGTCTCCACTGCGAACTGACCAGGTCTTTGATCCTTAGAGCAACACCAGCCTTACCGCAGCGCTATACATCCTACCTTTCAGCGACAAGCTGATATCGCGCCCTGTATAGATGGCTGAGCCTCTGGAAAGTGACACGGGCGTGGCTGTTACGTCAAGTAACCTTTTCAGTGACGAGACCACCAGCGGTGACACAGCTAGCAAGGTAAATGAACTGATCCACCACTTCCAGGGGTTGTTCAGAAAGAGCTAAAACCAGGGGCGTGTCGGCCCAGTCGTGCAACAGCACCTTGCACTTTGAAGGCACAAAGCACATGCCGAAGCGTGCAGTGCTACGCACAAGTCTGTGCAACAGTGTGTGCATAGCCAATGTATTAGATGCAGAGATAACTATATAGTCCACATACTCCAGGTTCGTGAGTTGGTCGCCTAGCAGAACTTCCGTGTGCATCAATCCTTTGTTCTTATTGTATACTGAAAATGAGATCTTGGTTAGAGAGGAAGATTAATCAGGAATGAGAGAAATCACAAGAAACCAACATAAACTCCATTGAGGTCGGCTCTTAGCCATATACACAGCTACCGTGAACAAAATGTGGCAGTCGGCAGGAGGCAACTGAAGCCAATTTTGTAGCCACAGCTTCCATTTCGCGGATTCCTGAATGGCGCACCCTCTGTTTCTTCATAAACAAAACGCACGCTCACTGCTCACGCGACGTATACGCAGCAACTAAGCCGAATTCAGAACACATCGGCAACGTTTGTCGATCTGGTTAGTCATGTCTCATGACCGTAAGGTAAGGCTGAAAGAATAGCAACCCTGTAGCGGTTGTAATAGATGCTGAAAATAAGAATAGCGCCCAGAACATTTGCTACACAGTTTATAACTTCGTCTTCTGTCTATTGTCAACAGCTGATGGGAATACGCGAAATTTCTGGGTTCAGCGTATTCCAGTTAAATGTCTTTTCTTCCTGTCATTTCAAAATCGGAAAGCGAAAATCTTGCATGATATATTACTGTGTTCAAAAAGAAACGGAACTCTTGAAATAGCCTACTCAGCAGGAGAGAGCGCTGCGGTTGCTGAGGACATGACAACTACCGGTCCGATCGAAACGCTACAAACAGCAGTTTATTGTCTAAATTAGTCCCGAAGGGCCTTCATCAGCCACAGCGCGCTGTCTGTCGGTTAAGGTGACACTTCAAAAGTTCTATTTCGTTTTGATCACAGTAACTGAGTTTCTGAGTGACTTCCAGCTGATACTCGGCAGTAATCAGCGCAGAAATACGGTTGTTTAGAACCCATGAGGAGAACCGTATTTAGATGGTGTAAAGCAGAGTCCGAAATAATTGACAGTGCCAATTTATCCATCACTCCTTGGCATTTCAGTTATAGAGTACGTTGATATCGTCGGCATACTCAATAATTCGATTGCGATAAATCAAAATCAGTGAATGTAGTTTCAATTTCTGTATCAATAGTGAAAGCAAAAGGGAGTGGTGACAGCGTCCATCCCAGTCTCACGCTTCTGAAGATATTGAAAGGCTGTGAAAGTTTGATACAAATAGTAACTTTGCTCGAAGTACGTGCGTAAAGCGTTTAAACAATAGTTACGCCCTTCTCGAGTGAATCTCCTAATTAGACAGACCCAGAGAGCGACTGTATGAACGGGATCGAAAGAGCATTTGACGTCAAGAAACACGACTAGGGTGGTTGGCCACACACTATAACATCGACATTACCAACGACGTTAGCCCACAATTTTTCTTCCACTAAAATATAAGCGAGTTGTGCGCAATAGAATTACGGCGTTGGCGAAATGTGAATACAGCTCAGCGGTGACAAAAAGTAAGCACCAGCGATGCCGGCTGAACATTAGAAGGCACAACGCAAATGCGATCCTCGATCCAAAAAGATATTCGGTTAACGTGCTAAACTCTAATTGGCACCTCGAGAAAAGAGTACTGAACGAATAAAAAGAAAATAATGCTCCCAGGAAGCCCGCTCAGAGAGAAGGCTATTTCTCTCGACTTGCTGCTCAGAAGCCCAGTGCGATGTAATGCACTGCCAAAGGTACACTGCGGTCAGTGTCCAATGTGGTCACTAAGATTCGACTGTGCGTTGACCTGTAACAAAAGAGCCAGATGATAGGACTGCCACGTCTGTGGATCAGACCGTAGCTATCACGAGCGGGCAAGTATTCCTAAAGAAGCAACAGGGCAAGTAGTTCAAGATATTTAACTGACACATCAGTCCAGAGTGATCGAACGCAGCTATTGGGACAAGCGGGTTAACTGTAATGCAAACTGATACAAATGAGTTGCAATTCAGTTTAGCAACTAGAATTCGTGAATCGAAATGCAAGAAATCAAGTTTCCTTGACTGGCATTGACAACACAATATTGATATTGGTAATAACAATAACAACGATAGAAAAATGAACAAGTGAAGTGGTCAAGGACCAGAAGAGAATGAATGCAACAGCACCACTGAGTTCGTGATCTCGAGGTCTCTATAGGAGGCAACAAAGAACCGAACCCTATTCAGCCACTTGGTGTGTTTCTCCACGCTCTCTCATATTCATAAAGATAGTTGTGACAGTTGAAAAGTGCAAACGTCGCGCCCACTGACTCAAAGGCATACAGAGCAAGTGACCGAGACACCGAAGGTGATTCAGATTCAAAAGGTGCTCAAAGGAGACACCGAAGAGCCATCTAGGAAACAGCAGATGGCAAACATCAGTGTCACAAATTCCATCGTCACATGAAAGATTAGCAACATCGCGCAGACATACGTGGTTAGGCAGTCAATATTTTAATGTCATCAGTGCGCAGCAGTCATGTCTCTGGTTCGAACAGTAACGCTCGCAGTACTACGGTAAGTAAACGCTAAAATACGGCCAATCGCCCCAGTAAGTGACTGTTTTTAAAGAGACATACGAGCCGTTAGTCCTTTTTGGGATGCAAGCACCACAAGTGATACAGTCGCTGAAGTAAGTCAACTGATCGACCGTTTCGAGTAGGCGTGCAAATGCAAATGGCATCAACAATGATGCCATTGCACAGTAAGTAAGCGAGACTGGGCCACTCTAATATAACCCCATTGAGAACCGCAGCTGTGATCAAAAGGTGTATCATTAAGTAAACCGTCGAGGTCAGCTGCTTGTCGGTACCGGAATTCAGAATGATCAGGTGAGCAGAAACGACCATCAGAATACTGTGTCGAACACACTCGTGTAAGAACTGACCTTGATTTTTTGGGATTTTTCACATCGGAAATCGGATGTAACAGCCGATCGGTGGCAACTATATCCGATGTGACATTGGCAAAACTTGGAGCGGTCATGCGAAAAAAGTAGCCGGAGTTTTCGATCAAAAGAGTCATGATTCGATTCACAGCGCCTTGTTCGTGTATACCCTGTGTGTAAAAGAGAGCATCAGCGAAAGTTTTGGTGCAACCGCGTGGGGTCTGTCAAAAGAACATAGGTGGCGAAAACACATGAAGAATTTGGATAAACACGATCAAGTTGTCGATAGAACAACGAGATGACGAACTAATGAAAGCAATGAGAATCCCCATTAAGCCTACACGTATCTACGAGATTTCCATGCGGATTAGCTACGGAGGCCACGGATCGTGATAATGTGGCTATATTTGATGGAGCAGAGGGCGACGAATGCAGCAGTATGTCGGGACGCAATACCGAGGCTTCGCTGCCGCGCAAACACCAACAATCGCACAGGGGCTACGAATATAGCGAGTGTCGCCCGGTCCCCTAAGCAGACTCGAACCCGCGACCTCAGATTACAAGGCAGGCTAGTGATTCGTGTAACTGCGTAGAACTAAGGCAACCATGTATGCAAAGCAAGATGCAATAAAAACTAAGCGGAAGTGAGGAAAAGGGTCTAGGGTTAAGGCAAGCACGACACGAGCCGAAATCAGGTGATGAGTTAGTTACGTTAAAATGAAGCTGAATTTGTCTAGGTAAGTGTGCAGTCACTTCTATTTGTTCTAGTAATATATTGCACATCTTACTCCTTTGGATTCCCACATAGGCTACTCACACACCTGAGTAGATGTGGAAGCGAACACGGATGATCAAGGACACTGTTCCGATGCTATGGGCTGAAGTCAGAGGAAACAGGATGACGTCTGTACTGAATAGGCGAGTCAAGAATGTAGCTTTTCCGCAGCATGCCATTATAGCAATCCAGGCTCCCGCTCGAAGTGTGAAGTTGAACTAAGTTGCCACAAACCAATTAAAGCTAATTTCGGTGAGACACGTGGGCCCATCGATGGTTACTTGTCATGCACATTGTGAAAGATTGATTTCCTTAAGCCCATTTCTGAATAGTTGTAACAGGTAATATCCCGTAGTAGCACATAATGCACACCTACTAATATTCCTAGTTCAATTGCTGTTTGCGTTGAGTAAGCGAAGACAGGATAATGAGAACATGTAGGTAGGTGGAAACATTTCGATAAACAGTGAATGAACCGCGTAAGCAGGCATGATAGCAAGAGCATCTTCAGAAAAAATTATATATTGCGACCACGGCACGTATAAAAATAAAAGTGTATATTGTCGATGTTACATGGAGCACATCAATAAGGCATGACCAGCTACGTACAAGCAAATAGCAAGATGATAGCAATTTGGTCAAAGATTAGTCTTGACAAAATAACTGAGCAGATCTATGAGCCCCAAGACATCACATGCGGTTGCCATAACTATTCGACATTAAAGTTGTTTCTGCGTTGAAATGGCAAATTGTTTTTCGAGTGCGAAAGTGTCGACAGACATGAAAGATGATACCGATTTTTATCGAAATAAATGTTTCGGTGGCTAAATTGTGTTTCAGTCACCTAAATAGATTTGCCCTCGAACCGATTGTTTGCGTAGTTATTCGCAGTCACCTGTCGTCCATTTTCCGTTCGTTCGTCGGATTTACTTGCGCTGTCAGGCGAAGCGTACATGTAATCAGTTGATATTGACCCGTGTTAATTTCCATCAGTATCCTGTTAAGTGAACCGCGTGAATCATGGGAGTGATGATGGAAATCGCTGATTCTGGACCATCCAGAGTTATTGAAAGGTTCCTCAGGTGCCAGCCAACATGTCGCTGAAAACCTTGGAAACGCGGGCAACCAAATCTAACGGAAGTGAACGGTCTTCGTTGCGTACAGCGACCCGCGTGTGTAAACATCCTCCAAGGTAAAGTTTGTGGCACGCAATCTCAATGGGGACAGGAATTCGTGTTAAAGTGAATATCAGTCGATTACATCCCTACGATCGAATCCGAAGCAGATGAATACTTGGCGCATCTAGCTCGTAATGATTGGGCAGATCGCATAGCTCTGCGAAACGTGTGCAGAGTTCGCCTGAGCTCACTACAGTAATACTCACCATACGGTGACAGTTAACGGCCGAGCTCTCCTCCACTATTCTACTCAATACACTACCATTACGTGGCAGCTCATGTGCAATGCCACGGTCGATTTCCATCCACAGTTTATGTGTTCTGCTGTTATACTATTGAGTGATAAAGATGGTGTAGAAGGCAGGTTCGCCCTTGGTTGAGTCGCTAGGCGAACTCTTACTATCGAGTGGTCTTTCATTTTTGGGTCTCGGTGCAGTCGGCAGCGTTCCAGTGATCTGAAAGTCGAACCAAGATATGGTCGTTACGGTATTTGGGATGTAATCAACAAGTCATTGCGTTAATTCACCACAAAATCACCGAAATCCCCACATTTTAATGGAGGATTTACGTAACAGTTTACGTTGTCTCCTACAGAAACTAATGTTGGAAGTTTGTGAGTAGGGTAAAGTTTGTAGAAAGTAGAAGTCACGATTAAAATTCACGCACAATAATATGCCTCGACGGGGAGTCGAACCCCGGTCCACGAATTTCCGGTCCGCTGCTCTACCACCTGAGCTACCGAGGGCTCAGGTAGCTCAGGTGGTAGAGCAGCGGACCGGAAATTTCTACAGAAACTGTCAAATGTTGGCAATCGGAACGCAGCATATAGCTATTAGGTTACGTGCAAGCATACGCACACGTTGGTAGCCGTTCACACATCAGGATCTTCCATTCTTGCCATCTGTATTAAATGTAAGCAGCAATCTGTTGCATCCACAAATCAACTCGCATTGTATTAGTTACGCACAAATTACCGCAAAATTATTTTTCATAACACAATAGGAGATGTCATGCGTTTATTGTCATCTGATATTTTAATTTGGGTTTCCGCGGAGCAGATTGGTGGAACGCAGCCAACGCAGTTATGCGCATTGCCTCCAGTTTCAGCGCCCATGTGCGTCTGGCGGCTAGGTCAGTTAGACTGTATCGATCAGAATTCAATTGGCTACTTTGCGCGTGAGGTACGATTTTGAAAAGCGTTCCGTCCGTTTCGACTAAAAGTCGGAACAATATGATCAGTTATAAGAAAGTTCATGCCAAGACTCATTCTGAAGCATGTGTTGTATGGATAAACTGCGATGCGCAATTACAATGTGGACCACAATTCATTTTAAAGTGCAGCTAGGTCAACCCAATCACTTGGAACGCAACAGAAGCAGATGGATACTGCGTGTATCCCGTTCGTAACACTGCGTTCCAGGACTTTTTAGGTACAAGACGAAGCCTCTATTTCTAAGCCATCGAGCCGCGAAGCACAACGCCTGTCACAACAATTAATGCGTAAGTGGTGGTGGTTTTGAGGCCTTACCGTACATCAGCCGAGCGGAAAGATTTAGGATAGTTCTCTGTAATCTCAAACAGTTTCGTAACAAATAAATAACATGGATTCCAGAAGCAAAGTGTTGTGATCATCTATGCAAACAAAGTGGTTTACTAAGTGCTGGAGCTGACCAACGAGGCATGGAACCGCACCGTGATTGCTGAAGTTGTGTTGTGATTTGATCAACTTTTACAACGCATACTGTTTGCGGAATGGATGCACTAACGGTGATGGGGTGTGGGACGGTGCATCGCCCACATCTTCATTAATGGCATTAAGAGATCACTATTCAATACTTGAGAATGGATGAACAGCTGTGGTGACAATGCAATGTTCGAACCTACATGTAACTCGCCACTTTGCGACCATCTGGCAGGAAGGAATCCCCAAAGTCCACACATCAGTCGGTGACTAGGAGCCACCGATCCCACACGGGTTAAATGTTCAGAAGTGTATGTAAACCCTCGTTAAATTCGACGCGTCAGCAGACTCAGATTGTTGCTAGGGTTCCTAATCGATGGTAAATGAATGCAACCCCTCGTTGAGGTGGTGTGGAGTGGAATAACGGTGACACCACTAACTGTGCTACCCAACCGTAACCCTTCCGGTTCTCAAGAGACGCAAGGCACTCAGTTCATTTTTAAGCGCAAACGTCCCGTAACTATTTGTGGTTATGGTGACGGGAAAATGCAGCAACGGATGTATCAGATTAATGCTCATTGAATATCTAATCACTCGGATGAATGAGTAGACCAGCAAGACAAGGTAAGGTTGACAGCAAGTTTCTTTGTCCCACCTCATCCCTCTTAGCCTCCCACTCCAACCACTATCTCATTATTTAACCTTATATAACTTTGCATAGTAATTTTTTTGGTGCATAGTAGCCGGCTGGTGGTTTACCGGAACGACGCCCATCCGTTACCGGTAGCTCAGCCGGCTTGCCCCAGTTGAATGCCTTTTTTCCCTCATTTTTCTGTGTATTGCGGCACAGTAGCTGAGGTGTTCCCCACCTCTAGCTAACGTGTATGATGATGATGAAGGTTGACACTAAGCAGGACGCATCGTTACTGGCCAGTGAAAAAACGAGATAGGAGGCATGACGTGGATAAAACTGTCTGCAATATCGTGTGTCAACAGTCATTCACTAGTAAAATACATAAAAAGTAAGACACGAGTTGAAAAAGTTTCGCACTTCGGACAAGAACCAGTGAATTTTTCGCAACTTGATCTTGCCCATATGATCATTGTACAAGGGAAAACGATACGGATAAAGAGTACAGCCGCGTGTCTATCCTCGCTTTTGACAACACTCCTATAAGTTTATATGTTGATGCTAATATGCCAAACAAATGTGCTAGCCGGCAACAGGCAAGGGTAATAAAAATGGTGCATGGTGAAACACATGTCCCCCCATCCAACGGTGCAATGGTCTGTGGGAATCCGAAAGTGGAATGGGGCATAAATATAAGCTATACTGGAGTACCTGTTGGGCACGCAAACACTGATGCAAGCATACACGTGCGCACTCCAACGTCCATGCTCGCCGCACTAGTGGCGGCAAAACATGATGTGCTAATTTTACGCGCCCCATAAACCACAGGGAATCGCCACACAGGTGCTGATGAAACGTGAATGACGTTTTCGAACAAGCAGTTGGGATCGATGGCCTATCGGGCA